GTTTTTTGGGAATAATCATGACTTGGCTTTTGGAGATGATGAGTTTGATGTGTCTTTGAGATTTCTGCATAAGCAGTTGGTTATGTGGGTTAGGTTATCAGAGATAAGATCTGACCATAGTTTCAGAAACCAGTAACACAGGATCTATATCACTGTCTTGCACTTTGCCTCCTTACTATACTGCGAACTTAATTTTCAGAAAGCTTAAGAATACTTTTGTTATTTATGTGACTCAGAGTTTTATTTTAGTGACCATTTTACAGTGAGTTTAACTGTCATCTTGTAGAGAAACAAGTTGTTTCAGGTAAAAGTCAAAGCATAAATGAACAATACTGCTTTGTTCAGACTAAAGTCGGATATCACAAGAACTAAAAAAGAACCTATATTGGACAGGGTTCTATTTGCATCATGTAAAATATAAATAAAAGCTCCAAACAATGGCTCAGAATATTAAAATGGCTTATGTGTGCGTATGGGAGGGAGAGGGCTGCAAAAGCAGTGGGGAGTGGTGGTGCGGGAGGGACCTAACTAACTTCTAAAAGTTAGCTAAGGATGACTCTAATTTGCCACAGAGAATGGAAACACAATTTCACTAAAGCTATGATAAATGATATAAAAAGAATCCAGTTAAAAGTGATATAAATAAAAAGGAGGGACACCTATAAATCAAGTAAGGATGCAACTTCATAAAGCTATTTACTTGCTAGCAAACATAAAGCCAAGGAGTCCACACTTCATGAATCACCAAAATATTGACCTCATAAGAGAAGTACAAAGGCTCAAAGAAAACTAACCAGAGCTGAGAAATTGCCCTCTTATTGTGTAGGCTAAGAGTTCATAAATAGGGAGAATGGAAAAAGAACAGAAAAAGTAACTTTTAGAGGAAAGAAACTATAAGAATACTTCGCCTGTTTCAAGATTTCCTCGCCTCCAGGTTCTCTCAAGAAACTTCAACCATCAATTATATTTTCTCTCGTATATCTCTAGCCTCCTCCCCTCCCTGAGATTCTTCCTATCAGCATTTATACTTAATCGATTAAGTCTTCTTACTTAAAACAAACACAAAAAGACCCTCAATCCAACACCCTCCTCCATTACTGCTCTCTTTTTCCTTCACAAACTTCTCAAAAAAATTGGTTGAATACATTGTTTCCACTTAGAAGATACTTTTCAGTCATTCTTCAAACAGTTACAGTGTGGTTGCCACCCCCATTTCTCCACATTTAGCTCTCACTAAAATCACCAAAGACCTCTTTATCTCTAAACCTAATGGGCATTTTCAAATAACAAGCCCTCAACCTGCTTGGCCTTTTGGCAGCATGTTTGACCACTCTCTTGAAATACTCTTTTCCCTTGGCTTCCATACACTACACTCAGATTTCCACTTCTTCTCTACTTCTCTTTCTCAATCTCCTTTGCTAGCTAGTCCTTCTCTTTTAAATCTTGAGGTGCAAGAGGGTTTGACCTTGGGCTCTTTTCTTCTCTAAAACTATACTTTCTCCCTGGGTAACTTCACCTGTCCCCAAGGCTACCATCTATACCATCTATATGCCAATAACTGCCATTATATGAATGACCATTAGAGGCGAAAGATTTGAGAGAGAGAGAGATCTAGATTTAATTTCCAGTTCTGTCTCATTACCTGAATGACCTTGGACTAGTTGCATAGTCTGTCTGATACTCTTTCTTCATCAGTACAATGAATATAGGGATAGTTGCCTCATGAGATTGGAAATAGTGTATGGAAAACAGTATAGCCCTTGGCCCACATAGAAGAAACATGGAAAATATTAGCTATGATTATTACCTATTAACTGCCCTCATGGTCATCCCCCAGAGTGTTAAGAGGTCTGTAATTTTGGCTTCTGGTTTAAAATGATTGTTGTCCTTTTTTTTTGGCTGCTTTGGGTCTTTGTTGCTGCGCATGGGCTTTCTCTAGTTGCGGTGAGCGGGGGCTACTCTTCATTGCAGTACGTGGGCTTCTCATTGCGGTGGCTTCTGTTGTTACAGAACAAGGGCTGTAGGCGCACAGACTTCAGTAGTTGTGGCACGCGGGCTCAGTAGCTGTGGTGCACGGGCTCAGTAGCTGTGGCACGTGGGCTCTAGAGTGCAGGCTCAGTAGTTGTGGTGCACAGGCTTAGTTGCTCTGTAGCATGTGGGAATCTTTCCAGACCAGGGCTCAAACCCGTGTCCCCTGCATTGGCAGACAGATTCTTAACCACTGCACTACCACGGAAGCCTGCATTTATTTTAGTTTTAAAGTGAAGTCTGCCCAAAGAAAACTTTTGTCATATCATTGACAGATTATTTAGTAACGTAGAATAACTCATGTTCGTTTAGTTATCACTTGACACTTGGCCAGACCACAAGAATCTTTGTGAGAAGGAGAGTAAAGTGAGTTAATTTTTTTAACTGTGTTGGTAGCTGATTAAAGTTTTTATGGTTAGAAAAATTTTTTCTCATTACAAAAAAACTTTGTTTTATGAAGTAGTGTACTTCTCATACATATAAAACACAAGTTGAATCCAGGTACCCTGTTTGAAACAGTCTGCAGGAACCATCTTTTCACATATGCATTGCCGCTAGGGATTGGAATATGCACAGTGTTGGTTACATACAATAAAGTCTGATTAATCTTTATTTTTTAATAATTCATATGTCATAGAATACAAGTCAATCAGAAAATTACTTTCAGTAAAATTTCGCTACCAGATAACAAAATGCAGTCATTAAGAATCTATATGACAGATACCAGATAATAATTAAGAACCCAATTTTCTTTGCTGAGTTGGACTTAAATAAAATCTTCACTTAATCTTTGGAAGGATAGCTCTTTGTCATTAATTTTTGTGTTTTTTTTTGAATTTTATTTAATTTTTTATGCAGCAGGTTCTTATTAGTTATCTGTTTAATACATATTAGTGTATATATGTCAATCCCAATCTCCCAATTCATTCCACCTGCCCCACCCCCCACCCCTGCTTTCCCCCCTTGGTGTCTGTACATTTGTTCTCTACAATATGGTTAGAAAAATTTTTAACTATTGGCATATTTGTTGATTTTAGATTTTCTACTACCCCTGTCTGTTTTTAAAAACCTAGATTGACTTTTCTTAGAGTCATATTGTATTACCTATGAAAATTTGTATTTTTAGAACATTTGTGAAAATTTTTTCTGAGACATTTATAAACCAGGATTGTTTACTATAGGAGAAAATAACTCCCTTAAAATTAATTATACCTTTAGTTTTACATGTTTGGACTTAGTAGGTAGGCTTTTCCTTTTCTTAAATTAGGGTCTTTAATATTCACCATATTGAACTGCCTTTACAGACACTGAAGAAAATTATTTTTATCAAATATGACAAAGGTTTAATATATTTATAATGTAAGAACTCAGCAAATTAAGAAAAACTTTAATATCCTGGTAGGTAAGTGGGCAAAGGACAAGAAAAGATAATTCACAGATGAAGAACTTAGATTAAGATCTATGGCGGAATGTTTAGTCCTGCTAGCAATCTACTAAATTCAGATTAAAGCAACCATATTCTTCCCTAATAGGAATATAATTAATATTCCTTAGTAATCAGCAAAAGTAAAAAGCATAGTTAATATTAAAATATATTAATGAAACTGTTGGGTTCATGTTATTGTAAATTGGAAAACAGTTCAACATTGGATCTCTAGAGTAGCATGTTCTGTACATTCTTTAGTTCAGTTTTAGCACACTTTGTAGATCCTGTTCTAGATAGGTGATCCAAATGAGCATTAATGTACACAAATATGTTCATTTCAGTGTTATTTATAATAGAGAAAATGAGACATAATACTGTATTGATAATCTCTTGCTGGCTAACTCCACTTCCAGGATAGTTCACTCATATGGCTGTAGGCAGGAAGCCTCAGTTTTTTGCCACATGGACCTCTCTTCATAGGGCTGCTTGACTGTTCTCATGACATGGCAGCTGGATCCTTAAGAGAGAGGGAGAGAGAACAAGCGATGCCTTTTATGACTTAGTCTTGAAAGTCACACTGTCACTTCCACCACATTTGATTTGTTAAAAGTGGACCACTAAGTCCAGCTTACATTCAATGAGAGGAAAATTAAGCTCCTCTTCTTTTTTAAAAAAATTTATTTATATTTTATTTATTTATCTATTTTTGGCTGCATTGGTTCTTCGTTGCTATGCACAGGCTTTCTCTAGTTGCGGTGAGTGAGGGCTAGTCTTTGTTGCAGTACGCAGGCTTCTCCTTGCGGTGGCTTCTCTTGTTGTGGAGCACAGGCTCTAGGCACACAGGCTTCAGTAGTTGTGGCATGCGGGCTCAGTAGTTGTGGTGCACGGGCTTAGTTGCTCCACGGCATGTGGGATCTTCCTGGACCAGGGCTCAAACCCATATCCCCTGCATTGGCAGGCGGATTCTTTTTTTTTTTTTCTTTTTTTAATTTTTAAAAAGTATTTATTTATTTTTGGCTGTGTTAGGTCTTCATTATTGTGTGCAGGCTTTCTCTAGTTGCGGTGAGAGGGGGCTACTCTTCGTTGTGGTGCACAGGCTTCTCGTTGCAGTGGCTTCTCTTGTTGAGGAGCACAGGCTCTAGGCGTGCAGGCTTCAGTAGTTGTGGCACGCAGGCTCAGTAGTTGTGGCTTGAGACCTCTAGAGTGCAGGCTCAGTAGTTGTGGCACATGGGCTAAGTTGCTCTGTGCCGTGTGGGATCTTCCCGGACCAGGGCTCGAATCCATGTCCCCTGCATTGGCAGGCAGATCCTTAACCACTGGGTCACCAGGGAGGCCCATGATATAATTTTTAATGGTTTAGTTTTCCAAGCAAAAATAAAGTTATTAGATTATCAGGAACTCTTAAGAGAATACAGATATAACTTTTAGAGATGATAAAATTCTTTTCTGACTTTCATGAAAGGCAAGATAGGGCATTTTCTTTACTAATATTATAATACTGATTTTCAGTGAATGCTGATGATGTGATTGCAGGTAAATTGGCAGGATGAGGAGCAGCAAATCAAAAGAGGTGCCTTTACCAAATCCAAGGAACTCTCAAAGCACGGATACTGTTCAAGGTATGATTTGTTTTTTTTTGAAACTGAACTTAATGATTTGTTTAGGTCATGTGCCTAAAATTCTGGGCTATTCAGTAAATGAAAATTATCCATATGCTTTGATTTATAACAAGAGGATAAATAATTTTTAAAATTCAGTTTTGTTTTAAATATACAAGATACCTTATATTCAAAGGCACCCAATAGTAAACTGTTTTGTAAGGGAAAACATCCTTTTAAAAAATGAATCAGTATATGTAAAAATTAGTTATATACAATATCTTACAAATTCTGACTTAATGTTAATAAATATCATACAGCTCCCAATATAGTTATAGACCTGTAGTGCACAGATAACAAAAATAATAGTCTCATTGAACTCTTTTTTTTTTCTTAAATGATGCATTGGGGGTAACTTTAATTTAGGGCATGATATTTTTTGAGGGACGTTGACAAACTGGAGTATATCTGGAGCAAGATTATTGGGTTTGTGAGGGATCTGGATATCACGTCACATGAGGGGCATTTGGAGGAGATGAAAATAGTTATCCTAGAGAAGGATGACTCAAGGGAAATATATAGACTTAAACTCTTTGAAGGGCTGTTATCTGAAAGACTAAATAGATATTACCTTGTTTCTACTAGTAGATTGAAGTCTGGAGTAATTTTCCAATCTTTTCATATCATAATATGAAATGCAGTACAATACTATATTTTGTATTTGTTCAGCTCATTGGGATAAACTGAGGATACTGCTTATTGTTAGAGATGTCTGGTGGAGTGTAGGTGGCGGGGGCGTGTTAGTCCAGTTGCCCTAAGGACTAGTGGGATCAGTGTCTAGTACAACTAAACCTTATATTGGGAAGCTCGGCTTTAGAGGATGGGAGAGGAATCATATTTTGGCTCAATATAATAAAGCACTTGCTGGGGAATAGTTCTGCCTAATAAAGTGATTCTCAAACTTTTGAGTGCATTTGGGACCTATTAAAATGCAGATTCCAAGGTACACTTCAGAGATTCTAATTCAGTAAATATCAATATTCCCCAGCAGATATAACCACACCATGGGATGCACTTTCTCAGACCAAGGCTGCTGTAAGTAATTATAGGTTCCATTTATTTCTTTCTAGTCTAAAATTGATTGCCTGTTATGATTGAATAGATTACGGTTTTTTTCTGTAGTGCTTTTTGGATAAGAAAATAAGGTTAAACATTTCTGTAAGAAGTTATCTATATGTTACAAAATGAACATTAATGATAACTATTAGTTAAGCAACAATTAAGACACTAAATATCAGAAACGTTAACACTATGGCATATAAAAGATTAAGATAATTTGTACTGTTTATTCTGCTTTAATAAGTTTGCTCAATTGTTATGTTGAGATGAAGATTTAAAACATAGAATGTATTTGAGAAGGTGGGGCTTTGTCTATGTAAAAGGCTCAGAGTCAGGAAATGAAAGGAACAGCTTTTCCTTGAGTGGACTGTGAGTTACCTCCTCTTTTTTTGAGGCAATAGCAGTCTGTTTTCTCTTAGCACTGCTGAAGAAGCATGATTATGGGCAAATGTTTTCATTTATATTCTGTCCAATCTTGTCTGGAGTTTAGAAATCCAAATTTGGCAAGTGATACATAGCTTCTTCAAAGAGAGACCTTTTCCTTTTTTCTTTTTCATCTGCTCTCTAGGCAAATTATTCTTCTAATATATATTTTGTTTTCTTTTGTATTCTACCTGAGTTCGAATTATCTATTTCTTTACTGTCTGAATATGGTGTTTTCTGTCCCCTAATCTTTTGAACTGGTTTGAAAATCAATCTGGAAAAGGTACTATAACCTAGGTTTGGTCATAATGGAGAGTCAAATTTTGGCCCCGTGAATGCAGCAATCAGTATGTATTCTCTCTTCTACATGAGTATTGTACATCTATAACATAGGAATAGTTTCTATCCCCAGTTTAATTTAGAGCTAAACTAATTTAGAGCTGAACTGTTAATAGTTGTTTTCCAAAAAAATTATTGGGCTTTTAAAAAGAATTTTTAGGGATAAGTGGTTCATAATATAAATGGGGGAAAACGTCTGATACAGAACTTAATATATAAAGGACTATTCCAATCTTGTGAGTACATTGCACTGCAAAAATCTGAAAGAAGATAAATCAGAATTTTACACAAAGTTTCTATCTCTGTGTGGTGGAATTTTGATGATTTTAATTTTATTTTTTTCTGTTTTCTGTTTTTTTCAAGTTTTCTCCTGTAAGCATGTGCGGGGAAAATGCTTTTTAAAATCATTGGTGGTAATATCAAAAGTCGACTTAAAAAAAAAAAAAAAAAGTCGACTTAAATTGTAAAGCGTATGGAAACCTGAATTCTATCTTGTGAATTTTGTCCTTATTGTGAAACTTATTCTGTAGATATAAAACTATAAAAAATTGTGGCAGGCTTCCCTGGCGGCGCAGTGGTTAAGAATCCACCTGCCAATGAAGGGGACACGGGTTCAAGCCCTAGTCTGGGAAGATCCCACATGCTGCGGAAACTAAGCCCGTGCACCACAACTACTGAGCCTGCGCTCTAGAGCCTGCAAGCCACAACTACTGAAGCCCGTGAGCCTAGAGCCCTTGCTCTGCAACAAGAGAAGCCACTGCAGTGAGAAGCCCGCGCACGACAATGAAGAGTGGCCCCTGATCGCTTCAACTAGAGAAAGCCCGCGCGCAGCAATGAAGAACCAACGCAGCCAAAAAAAAAAAAAAAAGTTGTGGCTATTTGAATAGTCCTAAATTTTAGTTTACCTGAATTGTTTTTTCCTCACTTTTGCATGTAAAATGCATAAAATATATAGAAATGCATAAATATGTAGCTTAATGATATGCAACATACAATGTCAGAAAATTTACTGCTTTTAAAAAACTCAGTGATTAAAAAAATAGGTCAACAGGACAAATAGAAACTCCTTGATGTTCTACAGACTCTTTGATTTTCTTGTCCAGATTTGGGCAGCATTGAGCCAGTTGTTAGTAGAGCTTAAGTAGTAAATAATGGGAAAACTATTTTTTTTTAATTAAAATAAATCATTCCTAAGTTTTTTCTACTTTGGAGAAAGGTGTTGGACAATATAGTTTTAAATAACTAATTAAATTGATGGTAGCTGGTTAATTTACAGGATTAACCTGTTTGTTTTGATGGTGTTTAAACTTTAGCTGAGACACATTGAAAACAAATTGGAAGTAGCCCCTACAAGCACAGCTGTGTTTGACTCTGTCATGGATACCAAGAAATCTTCTGCAAGTGCTACCAGAAAAATAAGTAGGAAGGGTATGTATGAGGTTAATTCCAAAGATATAAATATATTAAATATGAATTTTGATGTTTTATTTCAACTTAATTTCTTCTTATAGTCCCATGTATTTCCTTGTTCTTTTGTCAGAGACTATATACCTCATCAGCATTTAGGTTTTTTTTCTTTGGTACTGAGTAGTTACGAAGTAGCCTTGTGTTCAGTGACTGTAGATGACATTTTCACCATCTTTTGATCAGGGACTTAGCACCACTGCATCACCTTTGATAGTGAGTTTTCATATGTTGTTAATGAGAATTTGATTTTGAGCCTTTAGGGTTATAATGTCTTTTTTTTTTTTAATTCACAGGTATATCACTTTGAAATTTAGTTGACTTAAGATTTATATTTTTTTGTTGGGGTTTAAAATCAATATTGGAATATCTGTCTTAGCGATGCTATCATAAATTGACACAGTGTAAATATTTTCTTTGGTTACCTTTCATATATTTAATTCTGTGGTTGCATAATTAGTGGAATAAACCTGCAGGTTAGTACTTTCCACCGATACTGTGATTCTTTTTTATTAATCTGCGAGTCTTGGGTTTTATCTGATACTTCTTTTTTTTGAGTCAGAACTTTTGACAAAAAGGAATTTTTTATGTAGAATTTTATTTTGCATTGTTTGCTCAGAATATAGTCTTTCTCTATAAGTTGAGTTACTGTAATAATTTAACCTGAATTTTTCCCATCTACTTATATAATATCCAACCAGGGATTTCAGAAATAATAGATACCTAAGTTATTTTCTTAAATACTAGCCGCATTCAGAGACAGTCGTATTTTATATCATATGTTCTCATAGATTTCCTTTTTCTTCAGATGGTAGATACCTGGATGATTCTTGGGTTAATGCTCCAACCTCCAAATCTTCTAAATCACGAAAAGAGAAATCTCGTAGTCCTCTCAGAGCTACCACCCTGGAGAGTAACGTAAAGAAAATTAATCGTGTGGAATTTCGTGAACCTTTGGTTTCTTACAGGTTAGTGATTTTTTGTTTGTTTTGTTTTTTAAAAATTATCAAATAGAGTTAATCTGTAGTATTTATAGTAAGAGTATAGTTTATTTTCTCAGTTTTTCATAGCACTCTGGATCTAGTATTATTACCTTTTTCATTTTCCAAAAAGGTAAAGCAAAATCTTTTACGTTATGAAATGCTAACTTTCTGTTCTTTTACAGATGGAATATTTGGGGAGAAGAAGTAGTAATATTCGCTCCAGACCACTGCCACTGTAATAAATATGTTTCCTACAAATGAATTATTCAATTTCTTTTATCACCTTCTATATGAAACATTGCCAGATCTGTTTCTACCCCAGTTCATTCTCCAGCTTATTTAACCCTTCCTCTGTGCTTCCTCTGTTAGAGCACTTTCATGTTGCATTATATTTTGATTCCATATCTACCCATTACATTAGTTTATCTAAGACTGTAAATCTGTCTTATTCTCAAAGCGTTATCTTAATGCCTGTTATTTACTACATATTCTAGATATTTTTTCCAACATTTTATTATGAAAATTTTCATATTCATAGAAAAGTTGAAAGAACTATATAGTGAATATTTAATGAGTAGTGATTGAAAGACTGTGTGAAATTACTTGACATTTTTGGGTTTTTTTGGTGAGTTGTTCTTCCCTTTTTAAGATTGAAGCATGGTAGATAACCTACCATTTTATGCTTTATTTTATTCTCTACATGTGCTAATTTTAGACCTGTGAATTGTTGCAGTCTGGTCAGGATAGTGAAAATAATTGAATTTAGTCTTGATCTCTACAGAGAGAATCTACAGAACTCAGTTCTCAGCCCCCATCTTGTTTAAAGGTCAGCCATTCAGAGCAGGGTCTAATGTTTTTTGGGTCATGGACCCCAGTGAGAATCTGATGAAAACTGTGGACTATCTCCTTAGAAAAATGCACACACTGTGCACTCACAGTAGATACAAAATTACCATATTATGCTGTAATAGAGTCATGACTCTAAGAATTTTTGTGGCATTTAGAGTTTTATGCCTATACATGAAACATTTAGATCAGTACTTACAATGGAACCATTAATGTGAACCACGCATATGTAATTTAAAGATTTTTAGTAGTCACATACACACACACAAAGATGTTTTACATTCTTTTTTGTTTTAAATCTTTTAAATCTGTATGTAATTTACATTATAGCACATCTCAGTTTGGACTAACCACATTCAAGTGCTCAGTTGCCACATGTCGTAAATGCTACTCTTTCAGACCTTGCAGGTTCAGATGGTTATTTATCTGCTTTTATAACTTTGTTGGGTAGTTTTTATTTTTCTTTTCTTTTTTAAAAAAATTTTATTTATTTATTTTTTGGCTGTGTTGGATCTTCGTTGCTGTGCACAGGCTTTCTCTAGTTGTGGCGAGCAGGGACTACTCTTCATTGAGGTGCTCAGGCTTCTCATTGCGGTGTCTTCTCTTGTTGCGGAGCACAGGCTCTAGGCGCGCAGGTCTCAGTAGTTGCAGCATCCAGGCCCTAGAGGGTGTGGGCTTCCGTAGTTGCGAAGCATGGGCTCAGTAGTTGTGGTGCGCGGGCTCAGTAGTTGCAGTATGCGGGCTCTAGGGCGTGTGGGCTTCAGTAGTTGTGGCACACAGGCTCAGTAGTTGTGGCTCATGGGCTCTAGAGCTTAGGCTCAGTAGCTGTGGCACGTGGGCTTAGTTGCTCTGCGGCATGTGGGATCTTCCCAGACCATGGATCGAACTCATGTCCCCTGCATTGGCAGACAGATTCTTAACGACTGCACCACGAGGGAAGTCCCTGTTGGGTAGTTTTTCATGTATTCTTCCTACTGCTGAGGCTTGTCTTCATTAACCTCCCTTTTAATTAACTGCTCTGTTCCTAAAATATAACTTATTAGAATGATATGTAAAATAAAAATAGTTCGTGAAGGACTACTTTTGCTAGTGTTTTTATGAGTAGAGAACATGGACTTCGTGATATGTACTTTGGCTGTGTCCAGTCTTCTTTGCTTATTCTGGTGTTTCTAGATATGCTTTACATAATTTGAAGCTGCCAGAAAAGTTGTCTGTGTTTCAGAGAGGTTAAACTTTACTAACCACATTCATTTGGAGGAAAATACTTACTGTACTTCCACTTTATTTCAACTCCCAATCTATTTGCTAACATGGTACATTATTTAGAAGTTATACATAGGAAATGTCAGAATTTGAGAACTTTTTTTCCTAGTTCTTAAGATTTCATGGAGAAGTAAAATGTACATTTTGGTAATAGTGTCCAGTGAATATGCAAAGTCAGATTGTAATCCTGTTTTCTGGGGTTCTTAAGGAAATCTCTCTATGCATCTTTTGCATATTTCTTATTTTATAATATGCAGATTATGATTTAGATTATTTGCCATAATCTAAACTTTGATACACAGGAGGAGTGTTGATTTTTTTTTTTTTTTTTTTTTGCGATACACGGGCCTCTCACTGTTGTGGCCTCTCCCATTGTGGACCACAGGCTCCGGACGCGCAGGCTCAGCGGCCATGGCTCAACAGGCCCAGCCGCTCCGCGGCATGTGGGATCTTCCCGGCCCGGGGCACGAACCCATGTCCCCTGCATCGGCAGGTGGACTCTCAATTACTGCGCCACCAGGGAAGCCCTGAATTTTAATAGTAGTAATGGTTATTTTGTTTTTTTTAACTTACTGGAACTTCTAGGTTTTTGGGGTCTCTAATGTTAGCTTAGAGTTCTCTATTCAGTTTGTATGACTGGTTTTTGTACTCTTTATTCAAAGCTAATTATTTTTTAATAACAGGGAAGTCCATGGTACACCGTCCAACATAAGTCCCAGCCATTTAGAGTCAAAGAATATATATTGTGTGGATGTTAATGAAGAGAAGCCTGAGAGTGGGAACCGGATGATATGCAGTCAGGAAGATCGGAATATACATTGCTGTGATTTTGAGAGCTCCCAATCATCTGTCGTCAATGATACAGTTGTTAGATTTTTAAATGATCGACCAACAATTGATGCACTGCAAAATTCTGAATGTTTGATTAAGATGGCAGCTCCTACGAGAAGTGATGAAGAAAAGCCTAATAGAGCAAAAGGAAATGAGAACACTTTGAAGGCTTCTGTGTGTAACATGGGCCGTGATGTTGATTCAAAAGTGTTACGGTTAACTGATTCTTCTCCGTCTTCTACTAGTACCTGTAATTCCCAAAGATTAGATATCCTAAAGCGGCGACAACATGATGTTAAATTGGAAAAACTCAAGGAGCGGATTAGGAAACAGTGGGAACACTCAGAAGAAACAAATGACCAGGGCCAGAATCTGGGTCATATTGACCATCCAGTAATGGTTGTTAATGTTGATAGCTCAGTGACAGCAAAGGTCAGGAAAGTGGCAACAGCACCACCTGCTCCAACATATAAAGGTTTGTAATCAGTCTTTGTGTCTTTTTCTGTCTTCCTGCCTCCTTGTCTCCCTTTCTCCCTTGGCTGTATTTGAGTAGAGAGGACCATCTTTAGAACAGGGTGTGATTCTCAAATGTAATGCCTTAAAAAGTTAATTCAGGATGCATGCTAAAAATGCAGATTCCTGGATCCTACACTGGATCTAAATCAGAATTTCTGGAGATGGGGTCCAGAATTGGAATTTTTAACAAGTCCCTCGATGTTCTTATAGTTTGAGAACCACTATATGAATATTTAATAAGTTGAACAAAAGAGAAAATAAAAATTAGTACAACTTTCAGAGAACTGAAAGAATATTGCTCTTATTCTGCCATTGTATTTGGATTGTTATTAGGAATTCTTTCAAAAGTAATGTTTGAAAGATAATTCAGTCAGTGCCAGTTAATACTTGGTTATAGAATATTTTGGCACTGACATTTGGACCCTGTTGTTACCTTAACCTTCGAATTTTGACAGGAGTTTTCTCCATGTTTAAGAAAACAATATTTAAATGAGATTTCCACTGAGAAGATGCTTTTCAGAGAGAATATCTGTTTTTGGCCCAACTCAAGTTTTTATATATGGTGGTTTTTAGGAGTTTGCATTTTTTGGTTCCTGAAACTATTTTCACAGGGTCACCCATATAAAATTTTTAATAAAGAGTTGATTCATTGATGAGGTTACTCAGTGTTAGACTTTTGTCTTAAAATTCCTGCCATTCTGGCCTTTCTTTTGTGGTTATTTTTTCAAGTTCAGTTTTTAGTTTGGATAAATGTATGAAGATCAAAATATAGCCAAGATTTGTTTCTTCTGTTAATTTTAACAGAACAAATTTAACTATATAAAGTTTGAGCAATTACCAGTTTTTTGTGTTGTTTATTATGTTTTGCTAGTGCTATTCATTGTGAATTAGATAAAAGATAGATAATTAGCATTTTATTCTACATAATTTGTGATAAAATAATGGGTAGTTCCCTTAGTAAAATTCTTTCTTATCCTTCTAGTAGTTTGTGTACCATACAGTAATAATTGTCCACACTGTTGACAGAGCACATAGCAAATGGTGGGGTCAGAATGTTCTTGTTGGTTCTAAGATAGTGATTATCCAAAACTTTGGCTATACTTACATCAGACCCATTAAATACAGATTGTACCTTTAAGGTTTGTTCATTCTAGAAGTCAAAGTTCTGAAATTCCAAAAGTTATTCCACTAAGGCAAAGTCAAGATGGTTGATTTGAATCTATATTTTATTTAATAATTTATAAAAATCTAAAAGTTAAAAAAGAGAAAACAACCTTAAATAACCAGAGTGAAAATCTTAAGTATAACTTCCTTTGAGTTGTGACTGGATTTCGTGTATTCCTTTTACTTACTAATTTTTAACATGTTAATTTTCATATTAAAATATATTATGAATACAACTTTTGGGAGGCTAACTAATGACATGTAGTATACATTTCAGAAATCGTAACAGAATATGGTTTCCAGTGTCCTGAGCAATGGATTTATTTTTTCCAACGGTGAAGAACTGGTTTTCTGCCAACTTTTTGTCGATGTAAATTAAAACCCTCTTAATATACTGTATTCTAAAGTGACATTTTAATTTCACTTGTTCAAATACATAATAAATTCACTTGGTTCACAATTCAAAAGATGAAAAGGATGTACATTGAAAAGCTTTATCACTCTGGTGCTCTAACCACCTGGTCCCCTTTCTGGAGGTTACTTGTGTTAACAATTTGTGTATCATTCCAGAGATAATTTTCTCATATACAGATGAGAGAGAGAGGGTGTGTGTGTGTGTTTTCCTTCTCTCTCTTTTTTTTTTTTTTTTTTTTTTTTTGCGGTACGCGGGCCTCTCACTGCTGTGGCCTCTCCCGTTGTGGAGCACAGGCTCCAGATGCGCAGGCTCAGTGGCCATGGCTCACGGGGCTAGCTGCTCTGCGGCATGTGGGATCCTCCTGGACCGGGGCACAATCCCACTTCCCTGCATCGGCAGGCAGACTCTCAACCACTGTGCCACCAGGGAAGCCCCTCTTTCTCTTTTTATACAGTTGTTAGCATATGAAACCCCTTCTAAACTTTGTTTTTACATTTCTGTGTGTGTATGTTTAAAGTTTGAGGTAGTGAACACAGTGGCGTTTATGTGATTCTTCCTTATTCTTAGTGGTTTGCATATCTTTTTCTTTCTGGTTTAAATGCCCAAGAAGGTTAAGAGCCTATTTTGGTCATCTGTATTTTATTTAGAGCTTAGTACAGTGTCTTGGACACAAGTAAATGCACAGTATAATTTTTATTCAGTAAATTCAACTAGTAAGAAAAAATGTGCACAAAGAGAATGGAAATAAAAACTGGGGAACAGAAAGAGAAACTGATGTAGATATTGAAAGCTTCTTAAAGTTAACTTGTTAGTAAAGATCAAATATAAAGAAAGGCTCCCATAGAAATAAATGTTTCCTAAAGAGGAGAGAAGAAAAAATGATAGGGTTGAATATAGAGAGATGGAATGAGGGTGAGAAATGTTGGGAGGGAGGTAGCTTTACAAGGAATTGCCACACTTTCTTGTTACAAACTGTGGTTTGCAATAGACTGAATAGTATGTTTATAAACATTTTCCTTATATAGCTATAGGCATAATTGTGTGTGCCCCATGCTACAAATGTCAGGTAAAATAAAGCTTATGCTGTTGTTTCTAAGAGCTGAATAGATTATTTTTTATTAGACATGTAATTAATTTACCAGTACATTTTATCTAACACTTCTAAAGTAGTTTTACCAATTTTTGACTCCATTCTTTATATTGATTTAATTTTACAAAATATTTAATGGCTATTCTTTGGTAAGTGGAGCCCATTTGAAAATATAAATCTTTTTACTACTCTGGTTATCATCCATATTCGATACTTTATTATTTTATTTTTTTGCAAAATAACATTCTAAGTTCTGTATATTTCTTAAAAGAGTAGTGATAAATTTGAAGTAGGAAATTAGAATGATTTCTAGGAAATAGCACATGTGTAATGTTTGTTGAGAAATTGAACAGGTATGTTTTAAAGAACTGTTTTCCACACTTTGGCTGCATTTTGCCTGTGTAGACAGCAGCTTGTCCATTTGTTCAGCCATAGGCAAAATCAGACAGATGATAGTAATTAATGCCTGTATTCAAGAAAAAGAATGAGTAGCATTGTCTCTCTTTTAGTCTTGAGTAGGGTAGTTTGTAGCTCTGATATCCATAATTTATGATTGCCATTTTTTTTTATCATTTAGTGCATCTCCATTTCTAGTCTTTTTGAACAAAATGTATATTGCTTTGTCTCACTGAAGCTTACTTCTTCCAAACAGTATTTGTTAACATATTATGTGGTAGCTAATGATGCATTCCTCTTTTGAAAGCTTATAAATCTTTTCAACATCATTAGTTATTAGGGATACATAAATCAAAACCACGGTGAGATACCATTTCACACCTACTAGGGTGGCTATAATAAAAAAGACAGACAATAACAAGTGTTGGTGAGGATATGGAGAAATTGGAACCCTCATACATTGCTAGTGAGAATGTAAAATGGTGCAGATGCTTTAGAAAGCAGTTTGGCAGTTCCTCAAAAAGTTCAACATAGTTACTATATGACCCAGAAATTCCACTCCTAGGTATAATACCCAAGGGAATTGAAAACATATACATACACACACACACGTGCATGAATGTTTATAGCGACATTATTCATAATAGCTGAAAAGTAGAAACAACCCAAATTTTCATCAGCTGATGAATGGATAAGCAAATGTTGGTATATCTGTACAATGGAATATCATTCAACAATAAAATAAATAAAGCTTCTGTATGTGTTATAAGGTGGATGAGCTTTGAAAACAAAATGCTAAGTGAAAGAAGCCAGACATAAAAGACCACATATTGTGTGATTCTGTTTTTATGAAATGTCCAGAACAAGCAAGCCCATAAAGATAGAAAATAGATTAGTAGTTGCCAGGAAATAGAGGGAATGGTGTGGGGAGTGACTGCTAATGGGCACAGGGTTACTTTGCAGGGTGATGAAATGCTCTGGAATTAGATAGTGGTGATAGTTGTATAACTTTCTGAATATCCTAAAAACCAGGGAGTTGTACACTTTAAAAGAGTGAATTTTATAGTTTATTAATTTTATCTCACTTATAAAAGAATATAACAAACAAAACTTTTAATGCAACTTTAATAAGAATGTTCTGTATTGTTGGTTATATATTAGGCTTCAGTCCTTCAGAGACCAAGATTCGAACACCTGATGGGAAAGTGTGGCAGGAGGCTGAGTTTCAAAACATGAGTAGAGAACTGTATCGTGACTTAGCACTTCACTTTGCAGGTGCGTGTAGAGTGTTCCTAGGTTTTGAGTGTTTTATCATGCATACTGTCTAACGTGCAATACTTAAACATAAAACTGTCACCAAACTAAAGATATTTCCCTTTTCTAACTGCATGGTATACTAAAGTAGTGATCGTGTCAGTTGTAAGGCTCTTTTAGCCTCTGGGCTCTGCTCCAGGGTTAAAATTAGCATACATAGCTGATGAGGCAGAAACTAGGCTATTTTTTTTTTTTTTTTTTTTGAAATCCGACCACTGATTTTTTTTTTTTTTTTTTTTTTGGGGGAAGCGGGCCCCCCACCGCTGCGGCCCCTCCCGTTGCGGAGCACAGGCTCCGGACTCGCAGGCTCGGCGGCCATGGCTCACGGGCCCAGCCGCTACGCGGCATGCAGGATCCCCACGGACCAGGGCACAAACCCGCGTTCCCTGCATCGGCAGGCGGACTCTCAACCACTGCGCCACCAGGGAAGCCCAAAACTAGGCTATTTTTAAACTAAGGGTCTTTCTGAGCTGGGCTTGTCTGATCTGAAGAAAACATAGTAGAGTGTAGTTGAAGTTCACTTCTACTAGACCTCTGAGATCTTTGAAATAGTCAGTAATTTGGCAGGCAGCAGATAAGATAACTAACATGAAGGCAAAATGCAGGAAGAGAAATAACATTATAGGAAGGGAATAATGTTAGAGGATTGGAAGGAGGAACTTATGGAAGATTGGAAGAGGGAAATAGGAAGGTCATACTCATAATGTTACTACTATTGAACACCTTGTATGATTCTGGGCAAGATGCTACTGGGTACTTAGTCTTCTGAATGTTTTATGGTTGAGGAAATGTAGGCCCAAAAGAGTAATTTTCTCGAGGTTGCATAAAGTTAAGAATTGAAGCCAAGGTTCAAAACCAAGTCTGTCTGACTCTAAAGCCTGAGAATTTTCTAGTAAGCTCCAGTGGAGATTTTGCTAATAAATACTGTGGCATTAACTGTCCAGTCCAATTTTCCTACTGTTACTGTTGGAACACTATTTTCAGAATTTTTTTCCCATGTGGAAAGGAAATATAATAATTAAGAGCAAAGATTTTGGAATCAGTTTACAAGGGTTCAAATTCTGGCTCTGCCACATATTGGCTATTTATACTATCTATGTTACATAACCTCTCTTCCTTGGTTTTCTCATCTGTAAAATAGGAATAATAACTATATACTTCATAGAACAGTATCATTATAGACTAGTGGAATGATGTATGTCAGAAAACTCTTAAAGAGGTCTGTGTATTATAATCTGCCTTCTCTTTTGATACGGTGGGTGAACTCTGCCTGGTCTCCTATCTTAAACAAACAAACCCATCTACTTGTGTTTTATATTCCATTTGCTCTTGTGTATTGAAGGACATTACTTCAGCCTTGTTTTCTTTCTTTTGCATTATCAAGTTTTCCCTCTCTACGAGGTCATGCCCATCAACATACTGTTTGATAACATGCTGTTATCTCAACCATCATAAAAGAACCCCTCTTTTGGCCCTACTCGTTTTAGCAACTACCTTGTTTCTCTTCTTTTACTTACAGCAAAACTTCAGAAAGTTGCCTTATCTTCATTGTCTCCAATTTTTCTCCTCTGTTTTACTCTTGAAACCTTTCTGTTAGGTTTTTGCTCCTACATGTCTGTGGACTGCTGTTATCAAGGTCATCAATGACTTCCACACTTCCACATTGCTAAATCCAATGCTTAATTCACATTTGTCATCCTACTTGATCTCTCAGCATCCTTGGGCATTACTGATCACTTCTTCCTTGAAATTCTTCACTTGGCATCTGTCTAGGATACCATAAGTGTTTAGTTTTCCTCCTAAGTCTAGCTGCTTCTTTTCAGTTGTTTTTTTCCTAATCGACTCTGTGATCTCTGAACATCAGCCTGTCCTGGTCTCAGTGCTTGGATCTGTGCTTCTCTTTTCTTTATTTTCTTTTCTTTTTTTCTCTTTTTTTTTATCTTCTTTACTCCTCCACCCCTTTCTTTTTCCTTTTTTAAATTTTTTGTTTATCTGTATACAAACTCGGCAAGCTCATCTACTCTCAGGACTTTAAATATGCTCTGTTGCTGATGATTCCCAAATTTATGTCTCTGGCCAGACTTCTCTGAACTCAGGTTGATATCCAGCTGCTAACTCTGCACCTTCTCCTGGATGCATAATAGATTTCTTAAGCTTAATATATCCAAAAATGGAGCTAGCTAACTAACTAAATGGGGTCATGGTACACCCCTTAAACTTATTCCTGTGGTAGTCTCTCCATTTTAGTTAATCTTATCTTTCTAATTGTTCAGGTCCCAAATCTTGAGTCATCCTTGATCACTCTGTTTCTCTCACACCTTATATCTAACATTGTCTGAAATATAACCACTTTCCCCTACTAGGTCTAAGCCCTCCACCATCAGTCTCTTGGTTGGATTACTGCAGTAGCTTTCTAACTGGTTACCCTGCTTCTGCCCTCCTTCTAATGGGTCTGTTTTCATCACAGCTGTGAGAGTAACCTTGATAAAATTTAATTTAGGTCATATCACTCCTTTGCTCAAAAATTTCTTATTTTTGAGTAAAACCTGAAGTTCTTACAATGAGCTATAAAGCCCTACGTGATCTTGCCCTCGGTTATGTCTCTTGACCCTAGTTCTTACTGCTTTGCTCTTTGTTCACTTCATTCACACTGGCTTCCTTGCTGTTTCTTAGACACTAAGTATGCTCCTGCCTCAGGGCCTTTGACTCACATTTACTTCTTCTTTTCCCAGAATGCAGAGCTCTATATGTATTTTAAAGTACATTTATCCAGATCTGTGATTGAGATTAATTTTCAAATTTATATGTTCAGTTTGTTTCCCCAGATTGGAATTTAAAAATTAGTGAGTAGTAACTCATGTGTGTGTGTGAAATACCTTGACATATTTCACTAGCATAACCATAAAAGGGCCTAATTTAGGAATATTGAGTATTTTATAAAGTTTTACTCTAGAAGGTCATGAATGTCTCAAGTTAAGTAGGAATTTTTAAATGAAAAGGAGTCTATGAAAGTGCTCACCTCTGAGATTCTATAAATGCTATGATCTAGCTTGGAAAGCATTACTGTTGCAGCATCTTCTAGTTTGTGAAAGCGAGGTGAATTTCTCAAGGGTTTCCTGAAAAAAATAACAAAGAATTGGAACCTAACAGTGGAGTAATGGTGATCTCTAGACTTTGCTGTAAGAGGACTTGGCATTGTAGCCTTTGGGCCAAAGAAATAGCATCAGTGAAGGTTTCTCTCTCTCTGCCTAAATCATATACTTTATACAGATTTTTCATACTGGTGGGGAGGATGAGTGGATAGGTAGCAATCGTTATAATATTTGCTATATATGTTTCTGCTTTTCAGATGATAGCTCTATGAAAGAAAAACCTGCTGAGAAAAGTAAAGAGAAGAAAGTGGTCAAGCCAGTACGAAAAGTCCAAAAGGTAGCACAGTTACCAAGTCCAGAATGCAAAACAGGTTGGTTTTCTCAATATCAGGCCCATCCTAAAGTTGCATATTAGTGAAATGGCATCTACACGGAAATAAATGTTCTCATTATTCGACACATGCAAAAATTCAGTATATTTTATGTATCATTATTTTGTATATGTGTGTTTGATTGAGGTATAATTGACATAGAGTAAGTTATACATATTTAGAATGTATAGTTTGATAAATCTTCATGTATGTGTATACTCATCAAACCATATATTCACCATGATACTGAACAATGCTTCCCTCTAATTTTTTTCTATCATTATTTTTAATAGAAATTAACCAGATTAAAGGTAATGATTTTTATGTAGTGAACATTTATATACAAAGGGATGGCTTATGACTGTAGCTAAGTTCCTTCACTCATTCTCATAAGAGAATAAATGTTGCACAAGAAAAGTCTGGCAGTCCATGCTAGTAGTGATCAGGCTGGACTGTGAATAAATCAAAAAGGGGGAAAAAGAGAATTCCCTAGTTCCATAGTAATTAACATTTCAGGCTTGATCCAGATTGCCTGGGATTTATAACCTGGCTCTATAACAAATAGTTAACAGTGATTACCTTTGAAGGGGATGGTATTACAGGGAATTTCACATTATATTTTACAGATATATAACAAAACTACACACTACTTTTTAATGCATAAAACAATGACATTCAAAAAGCAAATATCATCAACACTTTAAATTGCCCTCATTATAAAACTTCATAAAAATATATTTCAATAAATACAGCTGTTTACCAAGAGAAAAAATTTTCATTTATTAGCTTCAGATTGTAAAAAAATTAACAGACCATTATTTCAAAACAGATGGTAACATAAAAAACAAAAAATGATGTGAAAGACCATTTACAAAATAGAAACCATTAAAAAAAACAAATAAATATGTAACAGTGTTTAAATGCAAAGCAATATAAGAAATGTAGTGGAAATGAAAATAATGAAGTAGCACTTTAAACCTAATTAAATTAGAAGAAAATACTTTTATATCCTCAAAGCTGGTAAAATTACAATAAAAATCACTCTTATAAAAATCATACTTATACCATGCTTGTTGAAATATCAATGGATATAGTTTCTCTAAAAAAAAGAAAAAATAGTATTATATGTCAAAGTGCTCATTTTCCTTGATCAGATAATCCAAGTAATAGAAATGTATCCAACAGAAAGAAAAAAAAATAAATGAAAATGTTCACTGTATAATTTTTTATAATATCAGAAGTAACCTAAATATTGAATGGTAGATAAACTATGTTTCTATTAGAAGGAGTATTGTGTGGCCACTTCAAATTATAATTTCTATAAGAAATAACAGAAATATTCTTGTCATAAGATGCTAAGAGAAAAAGGTAAAATTTTATGGATACAATGGCTACAATCACCTACTACTGATCTTTAAATTACTGTAAGGAAATACACAAAATAATACTAGTACTTTAAGTAAGAGCAGTGTTTTTTAATCTTCTTCTATTTTCCAAGCTTTCTGTGATACTATTTTATTGATTTATAATTTAAAAAAAATACCATTTAGAGTTTCATTTGAAAGTTTAAATGGAAGTATACATTTAATGAAAACATCTATTATTAAAAAACATGAATTATAAAGGTGTGCTATTTACTTTAGAAATGTTTTTGTACCTTGTTATTAACCTTAATCGGTCTATCTAAAACATTTAAAAGGTTTTAAGTCTATTGCTCAATCTATTTATACAGAAACTTTATGTGAAAGGACTTTCCCTCATAGCACTTAAGAAAACACAAACCACCCCCTCACGCCCCCCCCCCACGCATTTCTGCGGAGGCTAGGACGCCTGACAAAGTGTAGCCTTTTATCTTGTTTCAGGATGCATATTTTTTACAAGTGCTCTGGTTAAATATTGAAAAGTTACATGCTGTAGTTTAGCATTTTGCCTTTGTAATTTACAGAAACTATCACAAAATAAACTTTTGTTTCATTTTGCAAAAAAAAAAAAAAAAGGAACTTTATGTTCTTAAGCAAAATGAGAGAGCAGGCTTCTCTTCAATTTCCGCTTAATTTTCTGAATCAAGAGCAAGCAACCACGAATATACTGGGTAGCTATTTATAAATGTTGGCTTCCAAATATGCTGGGTGGTTATTTCTGAATTCTGGCTTTCTGGAATAGTCTCATGCAGTCATTGGTAGAAAAAGAGGACTTTCACTATAGATAAACTCTTAATACAGCTTTAATACAGTTTAATGACTTTCTGTCTTGGTCACTGGCACAGTACACACATGGAAATTAGCCCACCACAAAACTGGATAAATACAATCCAAGATCATTATAAATGGTCCCAGTGCTTCATTTCAAACTATGCCCCTGACAACTAATATCACATGAAAAATACTTCATTATATTTTTTTAATGTAAGAATTAGTGTAGTTTACATTCACATAATTCATGTTCTGAGAGCTAAAATTTAAGTTGCAAATTCAATCCTATACATATATATATATATATATATATATATATATATATATATATATATTTTTTTTTTTTT